GCACTGCTGTCCATGTGGCACCACTATCTTGATGGTGGCACCAGTCCTGCTCCTGAAGAGGCCATGTTAGCCCAGCCTCAGCTCTTTGCCGGGGGCCTTCAGCTCTGCTGCAGACCTGGGAGCAGGAGCCATGTGGAGCCAGCCCTGGGAGGGTCATTTCTCTGTACAGTGGCAGGAGCACCAGCCCACCTGGTGCCTGGCCCACATGGCCATGATCCAGACTGGTCTGGTACAACAGGACCCTCAAGGCCTGACAGGTTTCTCTGGGTGAGAACGCAGGAGTGCACTTCGAAAGGCACGGCCACACGGCTCTAATGACCTCTGAGCAGTGCCTGGCCTCCTGGGGTTCCTGTCTTAGTGGGTCCGCGTGGGGTGGCCCCCGCACGAGCATATTTCCAAAGAGCTCCCCCGGTTATTCTAACGTGAGTGCAGCTGGGTGGCCCTGACCTAGAGACCTAGGGTTCAACAGTCTGGGGATGAAACCCCGTTTCTAATAAAGCAGTAGAAACCATGGGGACATCACCTGGCTGTGCGCAGAGCCCTTGTCAGGCACACACCGGCCGTGGGTCCCCATCCAGCCCATCCCCCTTTACCTGCCCCATCCAGCTGGACGGCCCTGTTTTTAACAGGAAAAATGGAGCCTGGCGTCACGTGCGTGGCCCCAGTGTGCGGAGGGGTCTGCGATCTTTCTTGGCTTTGCTGCAGCGTCTCCTCTGAGGGAAATGACTCCATCACACTGTCCATCTGTGTTTACACTGGTCGGTGGAGCCTTAATTGCACCCTCAGTGCACCATGCAGCCTGTAGGAGACCCGAATGGGGCAGTGGACCAAGGCCTGTGCTGGGGCGGCTGGAGTGGGACCGTGGGCAGGAAGATGAGTGGTGAGCGCTGGAATCTCAGGCCCAGGAGACGCCGCAGCAGATGTTCTAGGATGACACAACACGACCCCGAGGAGGGAGGGATGGGCTTCTGGAACTCCCTGCTGGGCTCTCAGCTTGCACGGCCGTGCAGAGGACACATGCATACTTGCAGGAGACTTCCTGCAACCAGGAGTCCAGGGGCAGCTATCCCGAGACCCCAATCTGGGCAAGGAACTCAGGCCGGTGGAGGCAGCTCTCTGTGCCCACAGCCATGGGGATGGCCCACTGTGAGACAGCTCCAGGACTCCAGCCAAAGTCAGAGATTAGAAAGAGCAGGACGTGGTGGGAGGTGAAGGAGAATCTGGCCTGGGATCCAAGAATTTGGTCTGCACTGACCAGGAGCGTTGCCTGGCGAATGCCCGTCCTGTGCTCGGTTGGGCTGCCTGCCCAGCCCCACGGTGGAAGCCGACCGCCCCCCCAGGGTCTCTCCCTCAGGCCTGTGGCTTGGCATTAGAGCAGGGGGCTGAGGCTGGGCTGGTGCACCTCTCTAGCAGACAATGGCCTTGCAGAATCCTCCGGAACAGCTGTGTAAACTCAGCGTGGGAGGAGGTGAGGTGCTCATATCCTCAATCCTCTCCCAAAGGAATGGACGGAAACAAACAGAACCAGAAACGCCTCTTGGGGTCTCAGGCAGAGACCGGAGCTTGGCCCCTGTCAGGGTCCCTCATAAACCCATGTGGTGCACCTAACACAGGCCACTCCCCGAAGTGACTGACACGCCCAGGCCTGTGCAGCAGCCCCATGGAGAGCTGAACACCTGCCAGGAGCCTGCAGCCTGTGGCCCCCAACCTGAGACCCCACACTGCCTGCCAGGGGCTGGACACGCTGCAGCTGCGCCAGCTGGCCATTCGTCCTCTCTGCTCTGGACACCTTAGGCCTGACTCCTGAAGGCGCGACAGACCAGCCTCGGAGAAGAGCCCCAGCTCTGGGGTTCTCCTGCCTTGTCCTGGGCAGGGCGTGGGGCTGGAGAGGACAACACGGGGGCATGCTTGGACCAGGGGCTCCCAGGACCTTCAGGGGGTGGAAGGCAAATATGCGGGCTGGTCTTCTGGGATAATGTCCAGAGCAGCACGTCGGTAGCAAGGCCCTTCAAGGTCTGCTCTGGCCCTCTCCTGCCCAGTGCTTCTGGGCCACTATGGTCCACCACTGTCCACCCGGGCGGCAGAACCCAGAACTGAGTCAAGACCCAGCCATTTGGCCTGAGGCTGCTGGGAGTCATTTATACCTGAGCCCTGGGGCCACCACCCATCCCCCTTCCCCGCCTGGGTGTCGGGTGCCCTGGCTGGGCCAGGATTCAGACACGCCGCCAGGCCAGGTCCAGAGAGCTGGTCCTCGCCCTGACCCACCGTGAGACTTGAGCCAAGTGCACTGTGAACAAACAAGGGCATTCGAGGACCCTGGCTCAGTGGCCAATGGGAGGATCTTCCTGGATCTGATTTACACACGCACCCGAAACCAAACTTTGTTCAATTATTTTTTTAGGTAATAGGACAACTTGTTTTTCATTAACGCTTGTCAAAGCCAGCTGCAGTTGAGTGGAACAGAAAGTCAGTCAGTGTAGCCTGAGGGATGCCTGAAGGGTCCCCCCAGGCCCAGTTGAGTTTATAGCCCTCAGAGGGTCCCACTGATTCAACACTTATAAAAGCAGCAAAAGCAGTGACTAATTAATGCCCTGAGCCCCAAGAGTGGGTCTCGGTCACCTGGTCGCCATGAAGTCATAGCAGGCCTCACTCCTCCGGAGGCTGGGCCAGGCAGCGGCCTCTGGCTGCCTCAGAACCGGACCTATGTTCTCCACTGGGCGGGGAAGGCGCGAGCCGCGGGCTGGGCGTCCTCAGGCAACAGGGGAAGGTGCGGCATGAGGTGGCGCCCATGCTGGTGGAGCTCAGGCCTCCACCTGGAGCCTTGTCCACCGGCTTGAGACCACAGGGCCATGGGGCCTCATGGCGCGTGGAGTGGGGAGAGTGCAGAATGCCCTTGGCTGCTGGCAAGGGTCACTGGCCAGCCAGGGCTCTGCATTCAGCCAGCTCTGGATAGTTTATGGATAAACTGTGGTACATCCAGACAATGGAATATTATTCAGCAAGGAAAAGAAATGCGCTCTCAAGCCACAAAAAGACAAGAGGAACCTCAAATGCATATTACCGCGTAAAGAAGCCAGCCTGAAACACTACCTCCTTCATAATTCTAACTACTATGAGACAGTAAAGAGATCAGTGGTTGACAGGGGTTGGGCGGCAGGGGGGGGGGAAGGAACCTCGAGAGCACAGAGGACTGAGGGCAGTGACATTGCTCTCCGTCCATACTACAATGATGGCTACATGGCAGGTACATGTGTCCAAACCCACAGAAAGTACGGCACCCGAGTGACCTGTAGTGTAAACGGAACTTCAGTTACTGATGAAGTACCAATGTTGGCTCACCAGTTACAACTAACCTATCACAAGATGTTCATGATGGGGAAAATGCGGGGAGAGGGGGATAAGGGAATCCTCTATACACTCTGCTCAGTTTTCTGTAAATCTAAAACTGTTCTAAAACAGTCTATTAATTGAAAAACAAAAAACAGAGTGAAAATACTGGGGCCGTGACAGCAAATGAGCAGGTAGGGACAGAGACAGGTAAAGCATTCTAAGGCTTTAGGCCTTGACGGTGCAAAGATAGGGATTCAATTTAGACTTTCAGTTAACTAAGTATGTACTCACTTGAAAGAAATAGAGTGTATAACTTACTAATTAGGAGGGGAAAATAATGGAAAGAGAAAAACCTCTAAAGAAAGCTAAAAGGGACAAAAAGAAAACAACAAAGATATGGAAATGAACGCAGACAGCAGCCGAGCCGAATGGACTTGTTATGTGAAAGAGACTGAAGGTCGGCCTCAGTTTGAAAAGAACCTTGCTCTGTGCTCAGAGCTGCGCTGGAGAGAAGGACCCAGGCTGAAAAGAGAAGGTCACAAATCCAGACTCTGCAAATATAAGAGAATATTATGACTTTTTTTGACTAATAAATTTGAAAACAGATGAAATGGACAAATTCCCAGGAAAACGTCTGCCACTAAAGCTGCCTTCAGAAGAAATGAAAACCCTGCGTGTCTGACAGTCACCAAAGGCGTTCATCAGTGGTCACGGAGACCCCGAGGCCAGGGGCTCGCGCAGGAGCACTGCCTGTCCCGTGAGCTCATTCAGAGAAGGGGGCCAGCCCTCGATGAGCTCTGTAGTGACAGTGAAACCTGAGCAGAGCCAGGTAAGGCCAGTGCAAGGCGGAAAATTACAGACCAGTCTCATTCACTGACAACCATGCGAAATCCAAAACAAAGTCTTAGCAAATCATGCCCAGTAACATACTGATATACACAGCATGACTAAGCTGAGTTTATCTTAGGGATGTAAAATTGGTTCAACATTAGCAGTATTAATGCAATTCACCACGTTTACAGATTAAAGAGAAAGAAAAAGTGACCTCACAACTGGTAGAGAAAATTCAACATTTGTTAAAATTCAACATTTAGCCCAGCTGGTACGGCTCAACGGTGTCAACCTATGAACCAGGAGGTTGCTGTTCGATTCCCTGTCAGGGCACATGCCTGGCTGCAGGCTCGATCCCTAGTAATGGGTGTGCAGGAGGCAGCCGATCAATGATTCTCTCTCATCATTGATGTTTCTATCTCTCTCTCTCTCCCTCCCCTTTCCTCTCTGAAATCAATAAAAATGTATTTTTAAAAATTCAACATTCATGATTAATTAAAAATACCCCAAACAAAAACCACAAACAAAACTTCCTAGTGAACTAGAAATAGAAGAGAGCTTGATAAAGGCAGCCACCAAAACCCACCAACCAGACCAACAGCCCACAGTCACGCTCACCAGGCCAGGGGGCCGCTCCTGCTGCCCACTGAACCTGCAACCCCCCACGGCACAGACCCTGGACCACAAGGGAAAAGACAGGAGCTCGGCGAGCGAAGTCACGAGGGCGCCTCTATGCCAGCATGCAGGTTACGCTCAATACAAACCAACAGCGAGCGGGACAGTGTTTTCCTTGGGAACTGGCAGGCGGTGCTCAGATCGCAGGGTCTGCAGCGGCTCACCTGGAAGAGGATCTGTAAGGCGCCGTGGAGGATGCACATCCGCCGTCCGAGGAAGAGGAAGAAGGGCACCACGAGCTCCAGGAAGTGGTTGCTGAGGGTCTCGAAGCGGTGGACCCACCATGGGGAGCGGTGCAGGAAGTAGGCCATGGGGTTGGGCACCGGCTGCGTCTGCGGGACAGGAGACCCGTGAGCTACACCCCATGCGGGGGGAGGGCAGGGTGCCGGGGGAGGGGCAGAGCCGTGGGAGCCTGCCTCAGGCGAATACTCACATGCGGTTTGATTTCTGCTTAAAGGGCAGCGAAGGCTGGGGAACAGGGTCCCGGCCCCGAGTGTGTGTTCCTGGGAACACACATGTTGAAAGTGGGTGGGCACAATGCAACCCAGGAGGCTTGCGTGTTGACTCAGCCGTGGTGCGGCCACCCCAGGGCCGACCTGACAGCTCTGTGCCTCTGACCACAAGCCCTGTGCTCTCCCACCCCCATCTGTAGCTGAGGCTGGGAGCAGGCCATGTGGCCATCAGCGTTCAGAGAAGCCAACTGTGCCAACACGGTGTGGGGCTGGGTACGTCCCTGCCCACGATGGTCTGGACACGCCTTGCACTGGGCTCACGGCCCCATCACGGAGGCCCCAGGCTGACACTCAGCTGTTGGTGAAGGCACCCCCTCACTGTGCACAGGGCCCCTCCGAGCTGACGGGACACCAGCTCTAACATGAGCCGGCTCCCTTTCCCGTCTGTGGAGAGTGTGGTGGGACCTGAAGGGTGTGGTGAGGTCTGTTGTACCCACCTCCCTCCCCTCCCCAAGGCCTGGGCCTCCTCACGCTTCCAAACACACACAGGTGCCCTTCTCACTCCTGGGGACTTGTGTTCACAGGTACACGTCCCACACACCCGTAGCCACTGTCAGGAAAAGGCTGGGCCCAACAGACAAATGGGCAGTACCTGTTGTGCCAACATGGCTCCAATTTTGAAACTAAAAGATGTTCCTGATAATATTAAATGGACTTGACCTTGTCACACATGGTTTAGATCCCAGAGGAAGGAAGCGCAGCTGCCACTGCAGTGCCGCCCCAGCCCCGTGGCCTGGCTGCTCCTCTGTCCCCTGGTCCTCCAGCCCCGGCCCCTCAGGTAGCCCAGCACTGGTGCGTTTGCAGCCTGGCTCCTACCTCGGCCCTGGGCACGCGTCCTCTCAGATTTGCTGTGGACACAAGGAAGTCCCTGGCCTGTTGGTCGCCTACTGTGCGATGGGCACAGGGAGGTGGCTGCTGACTATAAGGAGACGCTGGCCAAAGCGCAACAGCCTGTGCGCCCTGAAGCCTGACACTCAGAGTGGCGGGAATGAAAGAGAGGCAGCGGGAGGAAGTAATGAAAACTGTGATGCCCCTGGCTGGCTGGCCACCCGCAGCTCAGAGGTAGGACGGCAGCTGTGGCAGGGTCGCTGTCTCCTCTGGGAAAGTGTTTTTCTGCTAAAGTTTCATTTGGACACGCTTTTGACTTACAGAGAAGATACAAGAATAGTAAAGAAAATCCCCGAACCTTCAATGTTTCCATTCTACCACCCCCTTCCTCCTCTCCCCACAGGTATGTCTTCTGCGCCATTTGAGAGTCATTGAAACACGACGCCTAGACCCTAAGTACTTCAGTGTGCATTTCCCCAGAGAAGGGCGTTCTCTCCTGTGCACGCAGTGATCACAGCAGGCCTCAGGAACATGCTGCTGTCAGCGGTGGGCCTTACTCCTCGCGTGGCGTCCACCGCAAGGAGAGGCTGCCCTGCCTCTCCCCCATGTACTGGTGCCAGTGTGGACGTGGGAGTTATTTCATCCAGTGGGTTAGTTCTGACGGTCCACACCACTTTCTAAGCATTTTCCTACTTCCTGGCACTAAACATGCTCCAGGATCGCCTGAACCCCTCCTTGTCCTGCCCTGGGCACAGCTGTGTCTTCCCGGAGCTGGTCCTTCTGATTGGGCACTGCTGTCTCTGGGCTGCTCAGCAGACCCCGAGTCCATGTCAATCTAGCTCATCGATCTTGGCGTTTAACTGTGCTGAGTGGGTTTCTGCAGCCTGGGGAGCACGCAGCAGGCCTCTCCCAACTTTTGCCCCAGGGGCTCTAAGCAACTAAGGCCTATTCTCACTTGTGCATGTGGAGGGAGGGTAAGATGGAGGGGCAGGCCCTTCTGGGGAAGGGGAGACACAGGGGTGGGACAGACGTGGGGGTGTGTCTGCTCAGAGGCCTGCGCTTTCGGATCACAGGTGCGCTACATGCCAGGTAGTGTCTGAGCCGCGTGAAACCCCCACGGTCCTAAAGTTGCAGATATTCTGGTGGTTAACAGCAGTTTCACGCAACACCAGAAAAAGCCATCAAAATTAGTTCCAAATGTTTCAGCTTTTTTTTTTTTAAACAGCAGAGCTCTCTCTGGATACAGTACGTGTGTACGCACACATGTGTACGTGCAAGCCTACTGCAAGGTGCCCATGGCCCCTGGACAGGAATGCGTACCAGGCGTGTCGGTGGGGCCAGAGGGACCACAGGTGAGTGTGCTTGTTTGCAGGCGGGGCAGGCTCCCTGCAGGAGCCGTCAGGAGAGGGGACCTGCTGCACAGGCCTGTTCTCTCCGGCAGCACCAGGAAGAAGGCTGGCACATGGTGACAGAACAACCACTACTTGTTCCCCAAGTCAGGGTGAGCCCCCTGGTTACATTTCAGGGCTCAGTTTCAGAAAGTGGCCTGGCCATGGACTAACTCTCAGTGGCCACACAGGTAAGGGCAGCAGGCTGCTTGGCCCTGGTTTTGGCAGAAAGACAGTGGATCCTGCTTACTTCGCTGTTGGTAAAAGGCCTGCTTTTACCAACAGATCCTGCCATGCAGGGAGAGTGAGTTTTGACAAGATTGCTGTGTCTTGCCCACGGTGAGGGGAGGTTGAAATGGGAGCCCCTCATTCACCCCAGCTTCCCCACGGGCTCCTGTCATCAACACAGCCTCCTCCGCCCACAGCCACCAGATATAGCGAGAAGGTAGAGGCCCAGGGCCCTCTGCACCCCCACCCACCCCACAAGCACAGGAGGGCGTGGTTAAAGCAGGCGGGATGGTATGACTGCATCCACGGCTACGTTAGCATCGTCACTGGCTCCAGGCTGAGCTGGCCCTGACCCACTTATCTGGGTGGAGTGGACACCCCAAGTCCCACCCATGGGGAGGTGGCCAGCCCAGGTCTCAAGCGGCACAGATGTGGGTCTGAGGACCTTCTCTTCTCACTCCCCTGGGCCCTTGTTGAAAAGGGCACCATATTCCTAGGCTAGAGAGACTGGACTTTATAAATCCAGTTGGGGACTGGCCTGAGGGCAGGCATCGCCCATATGAGGGCAGGGAGCTTCGCTGGCTGGGAGATGGGGCCACACACAAGGATTTGGGGGCCTGGGGCTGAGAGTGGCCCCAGCTGCCAGCCAGTAGGGAGACATAGACTTTGAGCAGAAATGTCCCTGACCGTCCTGCTTGTCCCCTGAGTCCTGGAGACGCCCGCAGGGCCAGCCATGAGCGCCACCCAGCTCAGTGCTGGGCCCAGAGGTGGAGGCCGGAAGTGCACAGGGCCTACCTGTCCATGCTGCCTGTGGGCCTTGTTTTGTCTCTCCTGGGGTTTCTCCTATGCCCAGCCCCCAGCCCCGGCACCCAGGAGGGCCTGATACTCGGGTGAGCTGGAAAGCAAAGGCCCTCTCCCGCCGGTGGGCAGGCACACAGGAGGGCTCGCGGAGCATGGCTCCCTGCTCACTTCGCCTGGCCCTGACTGCCCTCGGGTCCCCTGCACGGAGGCCCCATGTCCCTCACCCTCAGAGCAGTCTGACGAGGGGGGACCGACGAGCACAAAGGACTTGGCACCAGGTGTGAGAAAGGCCAGCGGAGCTTATCTGAGCAGCCACATGGGGGACCTGCGTCGGGGCCTCCTCACTCGGTGTCCAGCTGGTGAGAACAAACAGCAGAGAAGCACCCGCGAGGGGAATAAACCAGCGACGGGGAGAGAACGTGCTTCTGCGTGACCCCCAGAGCAGCCACGGCTGAGCATCCTGAAGCGGTTCCTTCCAGCGGCCGGGGGCCCCTGCATCCTGGGGGGGTTTCTCAAGGAGCCCGCGTGGAAGTTCCACGGGCGCCTCCCCGATGGGCAGCCCTGCTACTTGTACGGCCGCATAAAAATGAGAAAAATAAACAGCGTGCTTGTTGCTCGCTCCGAGCTGGGGAAGAAGCCAGACCTTTCCTGAGTGAGGCAGGAGGGGAGGCGCCCGCACACGCCCCGTCTTCGGAGGGAACAGCAGCAGAGAAGTGGGGCGCCGGCGGCAGAGATCAGGCTTAACGACATCCCCTGAGTGTTTCCAAAAGAAATAAACAGCCTGGGTCTAAAAAGAGCAAGTCACTGAGCAGTGCCCGCGGCCCAGCAAACAGAACCTGCCCCAGCCGAGCGGCTGCAGGTCCTCAGCCCCCGGCGCCCCCTCTGGGCAGCACTCCTTACCCCACGAAGGCCCACGGCCCGTCCTGTCACTCAGGCAGGGCGCCTGGGGCTCCCCAGCTGGGGCGCCAGTGCTTGTCATCTCCTGAACATAAACGCAGGTTCCGTGTGAGCCCGGCCCTCGAGGAGTCGCATCACAGGGACGGACACTTCCCAGGCTGCGTGCGTCACTGGGTGTCCTCACGGAAGCCCCGGGGCCTCTGGGCCTGTGCCTCGGGAGCCTGGACGGAGGACGTGAATGCGGGCGAAGGGGGCACATCAGGTTTGAACAGGGGAAGGACATGACCCCATTTAATGAGCTGGGGCAGCTGCTGCACGTTCATGTTATTCAGATTTATGTGCCTTTTCTTAGCTCCCACAGGTGAGGTGCTGGAAGGAGAACATGCTCCATGGAAGTGCTGACCGATGGTGTCTGGGCGCGGTCGGGGGGGCTGGAGGACCAGGCGCTCCCCACTCCTGGGGGTATGGACTCGATCCTGCAGGTGGGAGCCCCAAGGTGGGCCCTGCGCCCTCAGCCCACATGGGGCTTCACTGCGCCACGTAAATGAGAATAAATACGGTGACTGTGACATTCGCAGTCCCTGACAACATGGAATTCCTTGAAAGGAAGGCTCTATTTTCCCAGAGCCCTGCTCCCTGGGAGCACCACGTGCGGCTCCTTGTGTGGATTTATGACCT